CAGTTAGCAACACCGGGTCTCAAGCGGGTGGCGAAACCCAACCCTTATCCCTATTATAATTAGGACGACGACTGATCTCGATTGCTTCGCGGAGCTTGTTTTTGCCGTGAGTTTTAGCCGTGTTATAAATAATATAGTATAATGTCTCACGAAAGTTTTAACAAGTGAACCACAAAAGATTTTAAGTTATAGAGGTTTTAAGTTATCAAGAGTCTATGTTGTAGAGATTTTGGGTTCTGATAGGAAGGGAACATATTATTTGAAGTTAGAGGTTTTTAAGTTACCCGGGTTTGGTTTTCGAGGTTCTACTGTATTTTATTAACAAGATAATCTGCTAAAATGTCAAAAAAAATGTAATTAATAATGTGTTTTAGATGTAAGATGTCAGATCTGTTCGTCCGTGTGCGGCAGCGTGCAGGCCTTGCTGGCCCATCTGAAGACTCACTCCGCACTTGACAGACACAAGTACAGGAGACTCGTCTCCAAAGCACTTGCCAAGGTTAGTGATCGCACTGCAATACTCTTAATGTCTTATTAATATTATAAACTAGTTTTCGTTCACAACTTTGAGTGGATTTAAAAAAATAAAGTAGCCTATGTTTTCCAGACTATCCTCTATATTTATGATAATCATTGAGATTTCAGTAATTTAGGCTACAAAATCTAGCATATCTAAATTTTCGTATTTATAATATTGCTAAGATTTAATTTTTTAAAGTAATTAATCAATTTGAGTAGTTTTTGAATGTTTCTTTAATATTGTATGGTGACAAACAAACTGTTACCGGAATTCGACGAAATAGCGAAGCGACAATTGCTCATAATCTTGAATTGCAAATGCACTGCCATCCTCTAATATAGGAAACACACATCTGTGTGTTATCTTTTTAGATAATAGTTACCCTGTGTTCCTTTTCTTGCCATTTCCTGTACAAAAGATGTAAGAGGAATATATCTCATTTTGATATTTTCTTTTCCACTATTTTTAAAAGAACGAAAAACTAGGAATTTTGTCGAATAAAGGGACATATCCAGTTTTTTTTTATTAATGCATCTGTAAATATATAAGCGGGTGTCGCTTCGCTATATTGTGTCGGTGCGAGGGTGTGAG